CCATCAGGTAGGAAGCCAGCCTCAGCCCAGACGGCGTACAGGATGGGAGCTGCGTGGCCCTGTGGGGGACGGACAGAGATGGGGAGCTGATGTGTGGTGAGTGGTGAACCCTGGGGCCAGTCTACCAGCCCGCTGGGGTATGTTTCAGGGCAAGAGGCAGATGAAGGCCTCTCCCCCTTCATCCCTCTCCAGTCTCTGGGTCTGCAGCCTGAAGCAGGTGCCAGGGGCCCAGCTGTGAGACCAGAAGCCGGAGTCTAGCAGGCAGCCAGCAGCCCTAATCCCTGACTTCTGATGTGTGGACAGCCTTGGCCAGACTGCTAAGCTCTAAAGCCAGCCGTGAGAGACCGGAGGCCCTGAGCCAGGCTGGGAACAGGTGGATTCCAGGTCTGTGGCTGGGATTCTCACCCCAGAGGGGCGGGCCGGAGTGCTCCACTCCAAACCCAGCTGTGGCATGCAGCACTCCCAAGGGCCGTAGCCCATGGCCTGGGAGGCAGCGCGACAAAGAAAGACAGACGTGGGCAGAGAGCCACAGGGCTGTAACCCAGATCAGACAGCCAGCTGTCAAAACCCAGATCAGGGTTCATTTCCACTATCCCCTTCCCTGGGCCTTGGGTGAGAGCCTTGTTTTGCTTTGTTTTTACAAGAATTATTTATTTTATTTACTCTTTTTATTTTAGTTTTTTTTATTTATTTTTTTAATTTGCTATAGGAAACTTACGCTCACTAGAGAGAGAAAGAGAAAAGGAAAGCAAAAAAGCATGCTGCGAGACCCAGGACTCGAACTGTGATCAGTCACGTGGGAATCCACTACCACCATGCCACCTGCTGACCCTGAGAGTCTTGTTAACAGGCCAGGCTCCGGGGCAGAGCCACCCAGCTCTGCAGTAATGCCCGAGTCCTTCTGAACACAGTTGTGACCAGCAGGGACCACACAGAGCATGACGCTGAGGGAGGTGTTGGCCCAGGGCTAGGCTGAGCTGGGCAAGGTTCTGCAGAGACCACTCCCCAGTCCAGGGCTTGGGTGACACCAGCTGGGGGAACGAGGTTCCTACCTTGGAAAGCACAAATCGGTCATTGTGAGGGTTCCGGGGGTCCTGAGGCTTGTAGCGCATGGTGTGGAAGAAGAGGACAGCCATGATCTCAGCGGCACTGCAGCATGACGTGGGGTGACTGTGGTCCAGGAGAAGAGGACATTGAGTCATGGCCCTACCCCTAACCCTGATCTACGTGCTCATCCCAGGCCCCTGGACGGCTACCTGGCAGAGCATGTCCTGAAGAGTCACATAGGCCTGCCTCACCAGAGCCACGTGCCCCTGCTCCCTGGGAGGATGACACGGGGTCTCAGGGAGGCCACTGCTGGTGACTTGGGGGCTGGGCCAGTTACTGAGTGCCAGGGACTGTTGTGCCTTCCCAGGGGCACAGCCTAGAGCCTTGGAATCATGGCACCTGAAGAACTCAGGCTGGACTGGCATAAAGAGGCAGGAGGGCCAGGGGCGGGGGGCACACAGAAGCCCCAGCCCGAGGCCAGCACAGTGGCTGGGAATGGCTGATGTCGGATGGGGCCCTGTGTCCCCTTGCAGCTCCTAGCAGGAGCCTAAGGACTCAGCGGCACCTCCACAACTGACCAGCAGTGGCATCTTGGGTCTGCCCAGAACTCTGTCCACTTGGGAGAGGCACCCTGCCCTCTAGCCCTTAGGGTGCTGCTGGGACTCCCAGGCCATGGGACATGAGGTAAGGGACTGAGGCCCATGGACTGAACACAAACTTCCCAGCAGCCTCAACACATGGGTTTGGCAGGCTGAAAAGCTGGGCTTTGGGCTTCCTGAGTGCCTCGTTGGGCCACTCGGCAGCTTCTCAGCGGGCGTTCAGACGGCAGGTGGCAACCCAGAACCATGCTCTCATGCAGGATTTTAAAAGCAAAACATACCTTCTCATTGTCTCACTTTCTACAAAGGCCACAGTCATGTCAAATTAAAACTCCTTCTGCCTGAGGACAAAGGCTGAGGTGGCCGACAAAAGCAAGAACCTGCCTGCCAGCCCTGGTCAAGGTGAGGTTTTTAGACTCCTGACCCAATGACGGGATGATTATAAGTAAAGGAATTAATGACAGAAAGTGCAAAGACTACATCTTAGAGATGAGATTTGTCCAGCCCCTTGGGGTGCACCTGATTAAGCCGGCCCCTGGCCTGGAATGCACCAGAGGCTGGGGCTGCTTCTGGGACGAGCTGCAACTCCTGGGCTGGCCCTGAGCCCGCTGGACCACGGCTCTGTTGATGTCAACCTCAGGGCACGCACCATGCACCCTGCACCTCCTGCTCCAGGCAGCTCAGCTCGGCCCTCTGCCGCTCTTCGTGAGGGTCTTCACACGACAACACACCCAATGCCAAACCCAAGGGCACATGCGACACCCGCAGTTCACCCCAGCCTCCCCATCCCTCCAGCGGGCCCCCGGGGTTAGGGGTGAGTCGCTCCCAGCACAGACACATTAGTAGAGAAATCCAGAGCCCGTCCATGCTGGTTTAGTATGCACATTCCCAGCACACGGTCATCTTATACTTAACCACGTCTACGAGCTCCTGGTCATTGACACTACACCTGAAAGAGGGAGGCGAGGACATGTGAACAAGGAGCCCTGTCTGCCTGCTTGCTCCCAAGCTGGTCTCTTGCCCTTCCCGCCTCCGAGGGCAGCTCAGGGCTCATGACGAGGAAGCCGGGGTGGGAGAAGGATGTGGGTGATACCAGGCCAAACTGCTCGGGGCAAGCAGGGAGGCAGGTGTGGGGGCTCAGCCTGCCCATCCACCGGGCGACCCCAGGGTGACAGTCTGACCCAGCCACCAGGAAGAGGCTTCAGGGAGAAACGGTGTGGCAGCCTAGGCCTAGAGAGAGGGGAGCGGGGGGAGGAAGGTGGGCAGCCGTGACACCAGAAGTCGCTAAGCGGAAACAGTAAGGGACTTTAGGTCTTCCTAGGCCCTTGGCCGTGAGCCTGCAGTGTCTCATTCCATCCGAAGCCCGCTCTGGCTACTGCTGGCACTGTTTTTACATGCACAGTTGCCGAATCAGGATAAGGGGCCTCTGGATCCAGCTGTCTGCCTGCCTCCTCCCCGGAACTTTCAGAGTTCTCCCTCTGTGGTGTCCTGGGGTGGGGATGTCTGTGCCACTCAAGCTGCAAGACCAGAGCAAGCTCTTCACCTCCCTGGGACTCAGCTTCTTCACGTGGAAGTGGGGATGTTTGCTGGGATCATGATCCCTCTGCTGCCCATAGACTGGCAAGGGGGAAGAAATGAACCAAGGCTCTGTAAACCATAAAGTGTAGAGCACACAGGAGAGACTCCGGAACCCCTTCTCCATTTTCTCTCGGGATTTTGGGTATAGACGCAAACACACCCAGCATGACTTCCAAGTCACCAGTTCAGGACTCGAACCACAGATGACCATGTGGGGATCTAGTGCCTTAAGCACCATGCCACCTGCTGGCCCCAATAACTTAGTTTTTAAAAGCAAGACACCAGTGGGGCCTGCAGGTGAAGTGGTTAAGGCACTGGACTCCCTCATGGCTGACTGTGGGTCGAGTGCT